CAGCAGAGGTTGCAGTGAGCTGAGATCATACCACTGCACTCTAGCCTGGGCGACAGAGTGAGATTGTCTCAAAAAAAAAAGTGATTGCTTTTATACTAGCACCTTAAAACTATTTAGAACTTCAGCAAACCATGAAAAAGTGTTGCTTTGGAAATGGAGAAAACTCAAAAGGATGGTGTCATGTTTTCACATAGATTGTGATTATAGTCTCAATTTGTTGATCTTGACCTCTAGTATATATAGATGCAGGATTACTCTTTCTTCAATCGCAATAAATGAGATTTGAGGGAATCCTACGTTCACATCTGAATGGATGAAATGTAGGTATGGGTACTGTGTCCTCTCTTGCAGTATGGGCACAAAACTGTCTTTGAAAAAGAGACAAGTAGGTAACTAACATGTTGGTCTTCTTGTGATGAGTGGAGAAGCCTGTGGATAATACAGAGAAAAAATGAACGCTGGGAAACACTAAGGTTCATGTAATTCACCCTATCTATGAAACTGCAGGTCCTAGGTTATCTGGTACTGAAAGTTGTTTATTCATTTTTAATGAAAAACAATGCCCTTGAATAAACATTGGATGAAGTTTTATGAGATCTTTGGGAGCTGAGGTATGGTGGAGTTAGGCAGACTGGGCTAACTGAAAGTTTGGGAGCTGTCACACCCATCATCTTGGTCAGCTCACACTTTCCAATGACCTTTGTTTCTTCCTCTCATGAAGAAAACAATACCGGTCTACCCCACAGAATTATATTTTGGAAATCATCTCAGATAAGAAATGACAGATAAAGTACCAGTGATTAGTTTTCAGAACTGTGGCACTTGGGAAGAATAGACATTTTGTAACATAAGTAATATGAATTAATATAAGACAGAGCAGATTTACTTAAAATAATTTTTGAGTGGAGAAGCTGGTCTTTCGGTAACATTTTTCTTCTGAAGAGCTCAGATTTCTTCCATGGCTATGGAACTGCTGTCAGACTGCCTGGCTTGTACTCAGCCCAGCTACTGTTCACTGATGGGTTTCTTAACTCTTCCTAGGCGTGGATTCTTCATCACCTACCTCGTCGTGGTGTGGAAATATGAACTGAATAATCTTCGAGAGATACATAGCCCAGGGCCCTGCACAGCATATGTGCTTGGTAAATGTCGTTATCATTTTCTTTGTGCTTACATCCATCTATGCATATTAGTCCATTCGTGGAAATACGGTCCTGGAATCCAGGGGTCCTGATCCAAATGGCAGTGTTTCTTTTTTCTGCCAAAGGCTTGGCTAAAATGTAAATTCAGCTGGTAATTCTCCTATACACTATTGGTTTACTGTGGAGTTTTATTAAAGGACAGGGTCAAAATGTTGAAACATTATCTCCAAATCTTCATAGGAAAAAAAAATCTATAAAATATCTTGCTCAGAAAATTACTGGGAAGCAGATAGTATAAAGCAGGCCATAATTCTATTCAAGTTTTTATTTTTATACTCATAAAATGTTTTAGTTTTCTATCAGGTGAAAGAATTTATCTTTGGAATCAATAGAAATATAGTTATTATAAATTTAGTTTATGCTTTTACATCCTAGTAGAAATGTAGCAATATACATAAAAATAAAAGTTTCATTAATTTTTTTTTCTCTAAATACACCACTCTATTTTGTAACCTTGGCTATGAGTATAGGACCAGGAAACACACACACACACACACACACACACACACACACACACACACGTGCGCGCGCCTGCAACATGACCTGGGGCATGGCTACAGTAGCCGTAAGAGCTTTTTAACCATCTTCTCCCACCAATACTAATCATCACGGGTGTGTCCTCTCTGGGACATCTACATTGTCTTCATCGTCTTCAGCTGCTGCCTAAGACTTTGAAAACTAGTGTGCTTCATTTTATGACAAATTTCTGGGAAGATTCCCAAGTGCTCCTTTTCATCTAATTCCTGTTGGTCCCTCCTTTCTTTTACCTACTGAATCGTTGCTAGTTGTTCCTGGGAGCTCCCTGAAGGTAGACCTTGCCATCCTGGCCCTTGCCGCATCCTTAGAGCCCAGCCCAGTGCTTGGCTTAGTTTCCCATCAAGTGAAAGAATTTATCTTTGGCTACCAGTGCTTAGAGTAGGTGCTCAGTAAATATTTGTTGAAAAATGATTTCAAAAATAATATGTAATAATGTTTTCAAAAATAATATGTAATGATCTACTGTATAAATATTTTAAAGGCATAAAACATGGTCTTTTCTTCTAAAACTAAATTGCTTCAGTTCGAAGAATTGAAAGAATAAGATAGCATTGTCTACTAGTTTTACCTTGCTTCATGTCAAAAACTTTAATTGAAAGTCACGCTTTGGCTGGGCACGATGGCTCATGCCTGTAATCCCAACACTTTGGGTGGCCAAGATGGGCAAATCACTTAAGGTCAGGAGTTTGAGACCAGCCTGGCCAACATGGTGAAACCTCATCTCTACTAAAAATACAAAAAAAATAGATGGGTGTGGTGGCATGTGCCTGTAATCCCAGCTACTTAGGAGGCAGAGGCAGGAGAACCCTTGAACCTGGGAGGCAGAGGCTGCGGTGAGCTGAGATTGTGCCACTGCATTCCAGCCTGGGCAATAGAGTGAGACTCTGTCTCAAAAAATTTTTTTTTAATAATACTTTATTTCTTTATTCTAACACTAGATTCAATTACCTGACTACCTTATAGCTAAAAGTCTTTTCTGACCTTATTAATTTTGAAATTGAGACCCAACCTTTTTAGGCCTTATTACTTCAGTCTGCTGGTTATATACCCCTTTAAACAGTAAAAAATGGAATTCACATCCTTTGATTCTATAGCTGCTAGAAGTTGAGAAGATGCCTGCTTTACTTTGAGTGTTGAAATGCCTACCATTCGTTGAGAAATGGGACCTGTTGTGTGTCAGGAAATGGAAAGTAGTTCTACCTATTAACAAAGTTTTCCCCCAAAAAACAAGAGACAGTGGGACATAGGTAAAAGGCCACATAGCTGTCACTCCTGGTTGTTTCTGCTTGCACCGGATGGATACCAGAATCATGCTTTCATTCTCTAAGGCAGAATATTTTGAGTATTGTCCTTGGGACCTAGATGGAGAAGTTTCTAACTGGATGTCCTGAAAACTATATTCGACTTATAAGGAATGCCTCCAAACACCCAAATACAGATCAAGTGAAAAAAAGTGGTCTTTTGATTTTAATGGTTTGTGACTTCTAGTGAACGTTTATCCTTAGATCCTGGTGTGTCACAGGGTACATGGTATTCCACTTAGAGGCACGTATTTCTTCCTGGGCTCACACCTGTAATCCCAACATTTAGGGAGGCTGAGGCAGGCAGATCACGAGGTCAGGAGTTCAAGACTAGCCTGGCCAACATAGCAAAACGCCATCTCTCCTAGAAATACAAAAATTAGCTGGGCAGATGAGGTACACCTGTAGTCCCTGCTACTTGGGAGGTTGAGGTGGGAGAATTGCTTGAATCTGGAGGTGGAGGTTGCAGTGAGCCAAGATCGCACCACTGCACTCCAGACCAGGTGACAAAGTGAGACTCCATCTCAAAAAAAAAAAAAAAAGAAAAAAGGCCATTTGCGGTAGCTCACACTTCTAATCCCAGCACTTTGGGAGGCCTAGGCAGGCAGATCACCTGAGGTCAGGAGTCAAGACCAGCCTGGTGAAACCCCATCTCTACTAAAAATACAAAAAGTAGCCAGGCATGGTGGCATGCACCTGTAATCCCGGCTCCTTGGGAGGCTGAGGCAAAAGAATCACTTGAACCCAGGAGGCAGAGGTTGCAGAGAGCTGAGATTATGCCATTGCACTCCAGCCTGGGCAACAGAGTAAGACTCCATCTCAAAACAACAACAACAGCAACAACAAAAAGAAAACCGATGTCATGTAAGTTACATAATCAAATCAGAAAAATTTTGAGGAAAGAAGTAAATAATCTTAACCCCTTTATCTCTGATTCTCTGGCTCTTTGGGTGACTAGTTCTTTTAGGTTTAAAAACTTTATATAGTCTTTGATTCGGTGGTAATTTTATTTGGCTATCAAATGAAAGTATAAAATCTAATGGCCCAAAATATACTTAATTTGAATTTTTTGGTTAAATATATTAAGTGGCTAAAAAAAATCATCCATCTGGAATTTTTGAACCTCACATCTCAAGAAAAGGATATCTTATGCTTACCAGCCCTAGGTCCAGTATATTACTCCTCCAAGAAAGAACTTGTCCCAACCCTTGAAACCTCTGCTCCAGTCCCCACCATTTGTAACAAGAAACACATTCAGGTGTGGCAATTACGTGGCCTTTGGCCTGTGCGTTTTTTCTCTTGTCTCTTTCTGGAATTAGGTAGACTCACTTCTCTCCTCTGATACCCATCTCAAGTCGCTCCAGCCCACTGCTCAACATGTCCTAAGTTCCCATCCGGTTAGAGCAGTGCTTCTCAAACTCTTTGGTTACAAGACCCCATTACACTCCAGAAAATTATTGATGACCCCAAAATGCTTTTATTTGCGGATTTACCTACCAATATTTATCATATTAAAATTAAAACACAAATTACATTTGGTTATTCTTCTGAAAATAACAATAAGCCCAACATACATTAATATAAATAACATTTTTTTTGAAAATAACTGTTTTGTAAAACGAATGAGAAAACAGCATTGTTTTCATCTTTGCACATCTATTTAGTATCGGGCTTAGGCTGGCCATGGTGGCCCACACCTGTAATCCCAGCACTTTGGGAAGCTGAAATGGGAGGATCACTTAAGCCCAGAAGTTAGAGACCAGTCTGGGCAACATAGCAAGACCCAGTCTTTACAAGAAATTTAAAAATTAGCTGGGCATGGTGGCATACGGCCGTAGTCCCAGCTGCTACTTGGTAGGCTGAAGTGGGAAGATCGCTTGAGCCTGGGAGGTTGAGACTGCAGTCAGCCATGATCGCACCACTGCATTCCAGCCTGGGTGACAGTGAGACCCCGTCACACACACACACACACACACACACATCTGGCTCAATAGAAGGCAGCTGGATATTCTTATCTGCCTCTGAATTCAATCTGTTCCAATACATTATTTTGGTTAAAGAATATGAAGAAAATCTGGCTTCACATAGATATGCAGTTGGAAAAGGGGAGGTGCATTTTGACAGCCTTTTCAAATAATTGTGGGTATTCAGTGATATTAGAGCAAAGCTTGACAAATCCTAGTTTCTTAAAGGCTAGTTACAGAGTAGAATCTGAAACCCTATCAATGAACTGTGAAAATGTATTACATTAAAAGGCACTGGTCCATCTGTACTCTAAGTGGATTTTGTAGCATCGTGCATTGCATTGCTCATTTGGAAAATACCGGTTCATTGAGTCACAGAGTTCTTCCAAATTTTTACTCATTTCAGTATATAATACTTTTAAAATCCTATTTAATAATAGCACGAATGATCTCATACTTTAGTACTGGGAAACTTATAATATTCAATACAGATTTTCCCCAAATTCCAATTTTTGGTTGAAAACTCAAATTTTATCATTAGCAACAAATACTGTCAGTTGTTTTTCTTGTAGTGGCATTTTTGAGAAAATGTTGATACTCAAGTCTGAGCAAGCACACTTTTCAGTCATTCTGATAAAAATGGTATTCTATTACAAAGTGACTAGTTCGGCTTGCAGTTCAGTCACACAAGTGCTTTTCTTGGAGACAACCTCTGTACTTCAGGATGCAGCAGAATACTTGATGTGGGCTTCTCATCTTGTCACACAGTACATTAAAAAGATATGTATTCAAGAGTTGGAATTTAATAAAATTCGCAATTTTTATTGCTTCACCAAAGACATTGTCACCCAGACTAGAGTGGCTGGGTGCAGAGGCACGATCAGCCTCAGTCTCCTGAGTAGCTGGACCTATAGGCGTGCACCACCAAGCCCGGTTAATTTTTTAAATTTTTTGTAAAGATGGAGTCTCACCTCATTGTCCACGTTGGTCTCAATTCCTGGCCTCAAGCACTCCTCTAGCCTTGGCCTCTTAGCGCCCCCTGGAGTCCCCAGGCTACGTTTGATGAATCACTGGTCTAGGGAGCCATCAGTTTTAAATGAATTTAAATTATCTTAAGTATGCTTATTACACTTTCTTTATTTGATGCACCTTGTAGAACCTAGAATTGGATTTCAGGAGCTGCTGATGCTTTGAATGAAGTAAGAGACATCGGAGGTTAACAGTTCAAGAGCCATGAATTCTCACTTGGATCCATTAAATCCTCCTATCTTTGCAGTATGAGTCTGAAAGCCCTGATTCAGTCCTTGTTAAAAAGCTGGAAATAGGGCAGGTGCGGTGGCTCATACCTGTAATCCCAGCACTTTGGGAGGCCAAGGCAGGTGGATTACCTGAGGTCAGGAAATCGAGACCAGCCTGGCCAATATGGTGGAACCCCATCTCTACTCAAAAAAAAAAAAAAAATTAGTCGGGCATGGTGGCACATGTCTATAATCCCAGCTTTGGGAGGCTGAGGCAGGAGAATTGTTTGAGCCCAGGAGATAGAGGGTGCAGTGAGCTGAGACTGTATCACTGCACATGTATATATTCTAAAACAAGACTCTGTCTGGAAAAAAAAAAAAGCTGGAAATAGTTGTTTTGCTGTTGATAAATGAATGGATTTAAATTCCCACATGTTGCTTCTCCAGATCATTTCATGATCACTTATTTTTCTTCAAAGTGGAAACTGAAGCAATTAGAAGTGTTGCATATGGTTGGAATTTAATCACAACATTTTGAGTATTCCTTCTAAAAGAAATTTCTTTTGATTAAATATAAAACTTCGTAAGTACATTTCAGGCACCCATAATATCCGGGTACTAAAGGGAATGCAAAAGGTGCATATCCTACTCCTCAATTATTCATTTTTGTGGCCAGGCATGGTGGCTCATGCCTGTAATCCCACCACTTTGGGAGGCCATGGCGGGCAGATCACCTGAGGTCAGAAGTTTGAGACCAGCCTGGCCAACATGGTGAAACTCTATTTCTACTAAAAATACAATAATTAGCTGGGCATGGTGGCATGTGACTTTGTAATCCCAGCTACTCGGGAGGCGAGGCAAGAGAATCAGTTGAATCCAGGAGGTGGAGGTTGCAGTGAGCTGAGATTGCACCACTGCACTCCAGGCTGGGATTTAAGAAAATGTGTAGTTAAATATTGCCTCAAATGTAATCAAATACTTGAACGTAGGTTATAAACAATGAGAATCGGGCACACGAAGGGATTTTCAGTTTTCACAGAGGGTGAGACTTAAAAAGCCCTTGAAGGATAAATAGAAATAGATAGAACAGAGTAGAAGGGTTATTCCATGAGGATATTAGTTTGGATGAGGGCACTGAGGCGGGAAGACAGAGCTTAGCTTGAGGGAATGGAGGTCACTGGTGTTGTGACTATCTGCAGACAGCCGTATCCAGAGCTGAAAGGTGAAGGAATGGACCGGAATAGTTCTTTTCTTCTTCACTCTCCCACCCTGTTTGCCTTTGGTTTAGCAAAGAGGATTGAAAGTAAACCAAGAGAAATGGTGGGGGGCAGCAGAGGGAGGTGGGAGGAAAACTCCTTGAAGAGTTATGGTCAGCCAAAAGAAGCTGTCGAAATAAAATGACTGAGAGTTAATGCCATTGTCTGTGGTAGATGCCAGGATGCAAATCCTAGATCCCCTTCCCCTAAAGGACTTGCTGCCCATCCACTGAAATCTTGGTCCAGCTATCAGCTGTCAGGACCTGCCTTGTTGCAAAGGGCCACCTCCCTGCAAAGAGCTGTCTTGCATTGTCTTTGGGCAGCAGCTTGCATCCTGTCACAGAGAGGCAGGGGTGTGAAAGCACAGCCATGTCGTGCTCTGCAGGACAACATCCACTCCAGAGTTCTGGGGGACTAGCTAAGGCCTTGTTGCAGTTCAAATTCTTCCCCATTCTGCCCACTCCCTCTTTCCTTCACAGGTGTGGAGCCATAATAAAATTTTGCACCCCAAATTCTGCCTCATTATCTGTTTCTGGAGAATCCAACCTGTGACGTTTTTCCAGCCAGGGCTGAATACACACACACACACACACACACACACACACACACACACACACACGCGTGCTCTCTCTATATATATGTTTATGTATATGTATATATATACACATATATTTTTAATTACTTTCCCCCATTCAATAGTATATTGTCTATCATTTATTAGCAAATTGTATTTTCAACCTGTTGGTTTATTTATTTTACATACAGCTATTTTCCTCTATTGAGAAATCCGTTGGCAAAAGAATTTTATAATGGCACAATTAGTCATTTTCCCCACTAATCCCAGTGTAATTTTGCCCATTTTGAGATGGACAAAAATCATATGTTCCAAACAGCCAGGTGAGACAGAATGAACTTATTTACTGATACTTGTGGACACGAACTGAACATATCTGTCACACTGCTGTGCACTTTTTACCAGGCTCTCAAGTGGCCAGTTCTTTGGAGGATAACGTGGAATAGTGCTTATTTAAAACATGATTCCAAGACTACTTCTCAACTTCTGATTCCCCAGCATTATTGCTTTGGCATTAGTAATGTTAGTCAGAAATATGAGTAATTCTTGGTAAGAATGGGAAGTATTCAACTTGTAACTTCAAAAAGACATTATCTGAAAGGTTGAAAGCCAGTTTCTAATAGTACCTGGTGTCTTGGCTTCAGGGCTCACAGCAATCCTGTGAAGGAAGTATGAATATCCCATTTCGACAAAGAAGGTGAGGGTTAGAGAGAAAGGAAGTTGCTCAAGATTTGCTCTGGGACAGAGCCAGGGTTCCCACTCAGATCTTCCGACTCTGAATCCTGCAGGCCTTCCTCTGTATGGGCACTGAGGCCTGCGTGCTGGCTCCGGAGCTCCTCTGGGGCCTTGGGCAATGTGGTGGTGTTTCTGCCCAGCACACATGCCCTTGGCCTACCGGAGGACAGTTCCTGTACATGCAGGTACGGACCTGTGACTCTGCCTGAGGGCTTTCTCTGACACCATCTGCCCATGGGAAGGCTAGACTGAAAGTTTCAGGGGATCAGTGCCTTTCAGAGGCACCCCTCTAACAGTAAAGGCCCAGATAGAGTGGAAATACCCCAGCTTCCTTGCCACTCCAGCCTGCTTGCCCCTGGTGGCGTGATTCCGCGGAGCATCCTACACTGACTCTCGGTGGCTTCCTGGCCAGGGCTCATTCGCGTGGCCCTCAGCAGCTCTCCTCTTTCCCTGGCTGTCTTCCTCACCACCTCTCCATGCCTCCAGGAATCAGCTCCCGAATAAACGACTTGCACCTGAATCCCTGTCTCAGGGTCTGCTTCTGGGGGCACCTTGAGGGAGACAGCAATCCTGTCTTAAGGTTTTACACGTCTGAGCCAGTGGGACCCTCTGGGACCTGGGCTCAGGGCTGAGTTTTGAAGGAGAGGGAGACACTCAGGGTGTGGCTTGAGGAGGGATGAGGTGAGGATTTAAGGTTGGCAAATGGCATTTCTGGCAGGAGCCTGGCATGGAAGGTGTGAGAGGAAGAGAGGGAGGTGGGGACAGTGGACATCCTTGGGGGCAGTGGGGAAGGAATCAGGACTGGAAACCCGCCTCTATCAGCAAAGGGAACTGTGCCAGTGGGCCCCAGGACCAATGCCAGAGGGGCCACATTCACCCAGAGGCTCAGCCAAAGCTTTTCAAGAGTGAAATGGGAAATGCCGTCTATTGGCTTGCTGTTGGCCCAGTATTTCTTGTTTTGCATTTTTGCCCTGGCATTTCCATTGTCCTTACTCCAAGAGTAAGGACACTTTTGCAGCTGATAAAATATGTTCTGTGGGTTAAATGGCATTTCAGCAAGTGCCATCATTACATTTTTCAGCACCCAGCCATTTACATAGCTCTTCCATTTTGTACTGATAAAGTCACCCGGTGCAGCAGGCAACGCGAGGGTTACATTGCCACCTTTGAGATGTTGGCTAATGTGCCCACAGCGCCCCAGCTGTGAGTAGCACTGCCCTACAAGCATGGGTCAGGGGAATGCACAGAACCTGTCAATATGGCTTCACTCCTATAGCAGGCCCCAAGGGTGCAGCCCTCTGCTGGCGGACTCAGCGCTGTTCCGGGAGTGGGCTGGGCTGGTCCCACCAGGGGCAGAAAGCCAGCCCCTATAAACGCCGTTCTCTTCTACACGTCTGTCCTCTGGAGCCCCCACTGCAGCTGGTCGAACTTTCTAACAGAAAGCTCTTTTATCAAGGAGATTTCCAAGTCCTGTTTTTTTGCCATTGATTCTAGGAATGGCAATGTTTGGATAGAACATCAGAACTTGGCTGGTTCCTGGGCAGTCATGACCATGCGGCCTGGCTGTGCATGGGCACGGCAGCGTGGTGATGTGGGGCTGGGCTCAGGATCAAATGAGACCGGTCTGAAGTCCATCAGAGCCCCTTAAACCCTGAACAAGTGGCCAGTTCT